GCAGTGGCTCCCCCAGGGGCCCTTACAGAGGCGGTGGTGCTCGCAGGGGACCTAAAAAGGACCTGAGAGGTCTGCAGGGCTTCTAAGAGCGGCTGTGGCCCTAGGGGCCCCCAAAGACGGCAGCGCCTCCAGCGGCCCTCCTTAGGAGTAGTGGCGCCTCTTGGGACCCTGCCTGGGGCGGTGGTGCCCCCAGGGACCCTCCCAAGGGCGGGGCCGCTACCACGGGCCCAATGAGGGTCAGCTGCGGACCTCAGAGGGGCAGTAACGAGATCTGGGACCCTCTCATGGGCAGCAAAGGCTCTTCCTGACAGCGGAGGCCTCCCCCAGGCCTAACAACAATACCCAGGGGCTGCAAAGGCTTCCTGAGGAAGCGGCGCTGCCCAGGGGCCCTAGCCTTTGGTCGTTGTGTCACATATTGTATACGTCCAGCAATCCCTTTACTTTTACTGTGATTGTGACTCAACTGTAACTAATTAATGACAGCCAATAGGAAAACAGAGCAGTCAGTCAGCACAACACCCCAACTTATGTTTTCCTATTGGATATTTATTCTCCTTTACATTGTTCATGATGAGATGATACTGGTAATGCGATGGGCAGGGTATTTATTTATATCTCCCATTTTTCTTAATAGTGCAAAAACAACTGGTCCCAGGGGCCCTACAGGGACATTGTCCACTGGGGCCCTTACATTTGTCCTACCAGGTGCAGAGCCCCCTGTGGCTCTCCCAGGGATGTTGGTGCCCCCAGGGGCCTCTCCGAAAATCGACTGCTCCCCCACTGCCCCTCCCAAGAGCGACTGTGCCCCCAGGGTCCGTGCCAGGGGCCATCCTATGGGCGGTGGTGCCCCCTGGAGCCCTCCCAAATGAGGCGGTTCCCCCAGAGGCACTCCCAGGGTCGTCAGTGGCCTTAGGGGCCTCTCGCAAGAGTGACTGCGCCCCCAGGGCCCTGCCAGGAGCAGTGGCTCCCCCAGGGGCCCTTACAGAGGCGGTGGTGCTCGCAGGGGACCTAAAAAGGACCTCAGAGGTCTGCAGGGCTTCTAAGGGCGGCTGTGGCCCTAGGGGCCCCCAAAGGCGGCAGCGCCTCCAGCGGCCCTCCTTAGGAGTAGTGGCGCCTCTTGGGACCCTGCCTGGGGCGGTGGTGCCCCCAGGGAACCTCCAAAGGGCGGGGCCGCTACCACGGGCCGAATGAGGGTCAGCTGCGGACCTCAGAGGGGCAGTAACGAGATCTGGGACCCTCTCATGGGCAGCAAAGGCTCTTCCTGTGACAGCGGAGCCCCCAGGGGCCTACCCAGGGGCTGCAGCGCTCCTTGAGGAAGCGGCGCTGCCCAGGGGCCCTCTAGCTTCCTTGGTCGTTGTGTCACATATTGCATACGTCCAGCAATCCTTTACTTTACTGTGATTGGTGGACTCAACTGTAAATCCACCAAATGACAGCCAATAGGAAAACAGGGCAGTCAGTCAGCACAACACCCCAACTTATGTTTTCCTATTGGATATTTATTCTCCTTTACATTGTTCATGATGAGATGATACTGGAAATGCGATGGGCAGAGTATTTATTTATATCTCCCATTTTTCTTAATAGTGCAAAAACAACTGGTCCCAGGGCCCCTACAGGGACATTGTCCACTGGGGCCCTTACATTTGTCCTACCAGGTGCAGAGCCCCCTGTGGCTCTCCCAGGGATGTAGGTGCCCTCAGGGGCCTCTCCGAAAATCGACTGCTCCCCCACTGCCCCTCACAAGAGCGACTGTGCCCCCAGGGTCCATGCCAGGGGCCATCCTATGGGCGGTGGTGCCCCCTGGAGCCTTCCCAAATGAGGCGGCTCCCCCAGAGGCACTCCCAGGGTCGTCAGTGCCCTTAGGGGCCTCTCGCAAGAGTGACTGCCTCCCCAGGGGCCCTGCCAGGAGCAGTGGCTCCCCCAGGGGCCCTTACAGAGGCGGTGGTGCTCGCAGGGGACCTAAAAAGGACCTGAGAGGTCTGCAGGGCTTCTAAGGGCGGCTGTGGCCCTAGGGGCCCCCAAAGGCGGCAGCGCCTCCAGCGGCCCTCCTTAGGAGTAGTGGCGCCTCTTGGGACACTGCCTGGGGCGGTGGTGCCCCCAGGGACCCTCCCAAGGGCGGGGCCGCTACCACGGGCCCAATGAGGGTCAGCTGTGGACCTCAGAGGGGCAGTAACGAGATCTGGGACCCTCTCATGGGCAGCAAAGGCTCTTCCTGGGACAGCGGAGCCCCCAGGGGCCTACCCAGGGGCTGCAGCGTTCCTTGAGGAAGCGGCGCTGCCCAGGGGCCCTCTAACTTCCTTGGTCGTTGTGTCACATATTGCATACGTCCAGCAATCCCTTACTTTACTGTGATTGGTGGACTCAACTGTAAATCCACCAAATGACAGCCAATAGGAAAACAGAGCAGTCAGTCAGCACAACACCCCAACTTATGTTTTCCTATTGGATATTTATTCTCCTTTACATTGTTCATGATGAGATGATACTGGAAATGCGATGGGCAGGGTATTTATTTATATCTCCCATTTTTCTTAATAGTGCAAAAACAACTGGTCCCAGGGGCCCTACAGGGACATTGTCCACTGGGGCCCTTACATTTGTCCTACCAGGTGCAGAGCCCCCTGTGGCTCTCCCAGGGATGTAGGTGCCCCCAGGGGCCTCTCCGAAAATCGACTGCTCCCCCACTGCCCCTCCCAAGAGCGACTGTGCCCCCAGGGTCCACATGCCAGGGGCCATCCCATGGGCGGTGGTGCCCCTGGAGCCCCCTCCCAAATGAGGTGGCTCCCCAGAGGCACCCCAGGGTCGTCAAAACTTTAGGGGCCTCTCGCAAGAGTGATCATGCCCCCAGGGGCCCTGCCAGAGCAGTGGTTCCCCCAGGCCCTTATATAGAGGCGTGTGGTGCCTGCAAGGGACCCAAAAAGGACCCAGAGAGGTCTGCAGGGCTTCTAAGAGCGGCTGTGGCCCTAGGGGCCCCCAAAGACGGCAGCGCCTCCAGCGGCCCTCCTTAGGAGTAGTGGCGCCTCTTGGGACCCTGCCTGGGGCGGTGGTGCCCCCACGGACCCTCCCAAGGGCGGGGCCGCTACCACGGGCCCAATGAGGGTCAGTTGCGTACCTCAGAGGGGCAGTAACGAGATCTGGGACCCTCTCATGGGCAGCAAAGGCTCTTCCTGGGACAGCGGAGCCCCCAGGGGCCTACCCAGGGGCTGCAGCGCTCCTTGAGAAAGCGGCGCTGCCCAGGGGCCCTCTAGCTTCCTTGGTCGTTGTGTCACATATTGCATACGTCCAGCAATCCTTTACTTTACTGTGATTGGTGGACTCAACTGTAAATCCACCAAATGACAGCCAATAGGAAAACAGAGCAGTCAGTCAGCACAACACCCCAAGTTAGGTTTTCCTATTGGATATTTATTCTCCTTTACATTGTTCATGATGAGATGATACTGGAAATGCGATGGGCAGGGTATTTATTTATATCTCCCATTTTTCTTAATAGTGCAAAACAATCATCCCAGGGGCCCTACAGGACATTGTCCACTGGGGCCCTTACATTGTCCTACTACAGGTGCAGAGCCCCTGTGGCTCTCCCCAGGGATGTAGGTGGCCCCCAGGGGCCTCCTGAAAATCGACTGCCCCCCCACTGCCCCTCACAAGAGCGACTATGCCCCCAGGGTCCATGCCAGGGGCCATCCTATGGGCGGTGGTGCCCCCTGGAGCCCTCCCAAATGAGGCGGCTCCCCCAGAGGCACTCCCAGGGTCGTCAGTGCCCTTAGGGGCCTCTCGCAAGAGTGACTGCGCCCCCAGGGGCCCTGCCAGGAGCAGTGGCTCCCCCAGGGGCCCTTACAGAGGCGGTGGTGCTCGCAGGGGACCTAAAAAGGACCTGAGAGGTCTGCAGGGCTTCTAAGGGCGGCTGTGGCCCTAGTGGCCCCCAAAGGCGGCAGCGCCTCCAGCGGCCCTCCTTAGGAGTAGTGGCGCCTCTTGGGACCCTGCCTGGGGCGGTGGTGCCCACAGGGACCCTCCCAAGGGCGGGACCGCTACCACGGGCCCAATGAGGGTCAGCTGCGGACCTCAGAGGGGCAGTAACGAGATCTGGGACCCTCTCATGGGCAGCAAAGGCTCTTCCTGGGACAGCGGAGCCCCCAGGGGCCTACCCAGGGGCTGCAGCGCTCCTTGAGGAAGCGGCGCTGCCCAGGGGCCCTCTAGCTTCCTTGGTCGTTGTGTCACATATTGCATACGTCCAGCAATCCCTTACTTTACTGTGATTGGTGGACTAGAATGCTTACCCACCAAATTACAGCCAATAGGGGAACAGAGCAGTCAGTCAGCACAACACCCCAACTTATGTTTTCCTGTTGGATATTTATTCTCCTTTACTGTTCATGAGGCGATGATACTGGAAATGCGATGGACAGTGAGTTATTTATATCTCCTATTTTTCTAATAGTGAAACAACTGGTCCCAGGGGGCTTACAGGGACATTGTCCACTGGGGGCCTCATTTGTTCTACCAGGTGCAGAGCCCCTGTAATTTCTCCCAGGGATGGTGACTCTAGGGGCCTCTCCTGAATCGACTGCTCCCCCCACTGCCCCTCCTAAGAGCGACTGTGCCCCAGGGTCCGTGCCAGGGCCATCCCAAGGGCGGTGGTGCCCCCTGGAGCCTCCCAAATGAGGCGGCTCCCCAGAGGCACTCCCAGGTCGTCAGTGTCTCTTAGGGCCTCTCAAGAGTGACTCAGCCCCCAGGCCCCTGCCAGGAGCAGGGTTTCCAGGGGCCCTTACAGAGGCGGTGGTGCTCTAAGTGACCTAAAAGGACCTGAGAGGTCTGGTAGGGTTTAAGGGCGGCTGTACCCTAGGGGCCCCCAGGCGGCAGAAGTGCCTCCAGCGGCCCTCCTAGAGAGAGGGCGCCTCTGGGGACTCTTCTGCTCTGGGGCGGTGGTGCCCCCAGGGACCCTTCCAAGGGCGGGGCCGCTACCACGGGCCGAATGAGGGTCAGCTGCGGACCTCAGAGGGGCAGTAACGAGATCTGGGACCCTCTCATGGGCAGCAAAGGCTCTTCCTGGGACAGCGGAGCCCCCAGGGGCCTACCCAGGGGCTGCAGCGCTCCTTGAGGAAGCGGCGCTGCCCAGGGGCCCTCTAGCTTCCTTGGTCGTTGTGTCACATATTGCATATGTCCAGCAATCCCTTACTTTACTGTGATTGGTGGACTCAACTGTAAATCCACCAAATGACAGCCAATAGGAAAACAGAGCAGTCAGTCAGCACAACACCCCAACTTATGTTTTCCTATTGGATATTTATTCTCCTTTACATTGTTCATGATGAGATGATACTGGAAATGCGATGGGCAGGGTATTTATTTATATCTCCCATTTTTCTTAATAGTGCAAAAACAACTGGTCCCAGGGGCCCTACAGGGACATTGTCCACTGGGGCCCTTGCATTTGCCCTACCAGGTGCAGAGCCCCCTGTGGCTCTCCCAGGGATGTAGGTGCCCCCAGGGGCCTCTCCGAAAATCGATTGCTCCCCCACTGCCCCTCACAAGAGCGACTGTGCCCCCAGGGTCCATGCCAGGGGCCATCCTATTGGCGGTGGTGCCCCCTGGAGCCCTCCCAAATGAGGCGGCGCCCCCAGAGGCACTCCCAGGGTCGTCAGTGCCCTTAGGGGCCTCTCGCAAGAGTGACTGCACCCCCAGGGGCCCTGCCAGGAGCAGTGGCTCCCCCAGGGGCCCTTACAGAGGCGGTGGTGCTCGCAGGGGACCTAAAAAGGACCTGAGAGGTCTGCAGGGCTTCTAAGGGCGGCTGTGGCCCTAGGGGCCCCCAGAGGCGGCAGCGCCTCCAGCGGCCCTCCTTAGGAGTAGTGGCGCCTCTTGGGACCCTGCCTGGGGCGGTGGTGCCCCCAGGGACCCTTCCAAGGGCGGGGCCGCTACCACGGGCCGAATGAGGGTCAGCTGCGGACCTCAGAGGGGCAGTAACGAGATCTGGGACCCTCTCATGGGCAGCAAAGGCTCTTCCTGGGACAGCGGAGCCCCCAGGGGCCTACCCAGGGGCTGCAGCGCTCCTTGAGGAAGCGGCGCTGCCCAGGGGCCCTCTAGCTTCCTTGGTCGTTGTGTCACATATTGCATACGTCCAGCAATCCTTTACTTTACTGTGATTGGTGGACTCAACTGTAAATCCACCAAATGACAGCCAATAGGAAAACAGAGCAGTCAGTCAGCACAACACCCCAACTTATGTTTTCCTATTGGATATTTATTCTCCTTTACATTGTTCATGATGAGATGATACTGGAAATGCGATGGGCAGAGTATTTATTTATATCTCCCATTTTTCTTAATAGTGCAAAAACAACTGGTCCCAGGGGCCCTACAGGGACATTGTCCACTGGGGCCCTTACATTTGTCCTACCAGGTGCAGAGCCCCCTGTGGCTCTCCCAGGGATGTAGGTGCCCCCAGGGGCCTCTCCGAAAATCGACTGCTCCCCCACTGCCCCTCACAAGAGCGACTGTGCCCCCAGGGTCCATGCCAGGGGCCATCCTATGGGCGGTGGTGCCCCCTGGAGCCCTCCCAAATGAGGCGGCTCCCCCAGAGGCACTCCCAGGGTCGTCAGTGCCCTTAGGGGCCTCTCGCAAGAGTGACTGCGCCCCTAGGGGCCCTGCCAGGAGCAGTGGCTCCCCCAGGGGCCCTTACAGAGGCGGTGGTGCTCGCAGGGGACCTAAAAAGGACCTGAGAGGTCTGCAGGGCTTCTAAGGGCGGCTGTGACCCTAGGGGCCCCCAAAGGCGGCAGCGCCTCCAGCGGCCCTCCTTAGGAGTAGTGGCGCCTCTTGGGACCCTGCCTGGGGCGGTGGTGCCCCCAGGGACCCTTCCAAGGGCGGGGCCGCTACCACGGGCCGAATGAGGGTCAGCTGCGGACCTCAGAGGGGCAGTAACGAGATCTGGGACCCTCTCATGGGCAGCAAAGGCTCTTCCTGGGACAGCGGAGCCCCCAGGGGCCTACCCAGGGGCTGCAGCGCTCCTTGAGGAAGCGGCGCTGCCCAGGGGCCCTCTAGCTTCCTTGGTCGTTGTGTCACATATTGCATACGTCCAGCAATCCTTTACTTTACTGTGATTGGTGGACTCAACTGTAAATCCACCAAATGACAGCCAATAGGAAAACAGAGCAGTCAGTCAGCACAACACCCCAACTTATGTTTTCCTATTGGATATTTATTCTCCTTTACATTGTTCATGATGAGATGATACTGGAAATGCGATGGGCAGAGTATTTATTTATATCTCCCATTTTTCTTAATAGTGCAAAAACAACTGGTCCCAGGGCCCTACAGGGGACATTGTCCTGGGGACCCCTTACATTTGTTCTACCGGGTGCAGAGCCTGTGGCTCTCCCAGGGATATAGGTGCCCCCAGGGCCTCTCCGAAAATCGACTGCTCCCCTGCCCCTCCCAAAGAGCGACGCTGTGCCCCCAGGGGTCCAGTGCAGGGGCCATCCTATGGGCAGTGGTGCCCCTGGAGCCCTCCCAAATGAGGCTGACTCCCCAGAGAGAGCCTCCCAGGGTCGTCAGTGCCCTTGGGGCCTCTCACCAAAAATGACTGCGCCCCCAGGGGCCTGCCAGGCAGTGGCTCCCCAGGGAGCCCTCCCAGGCGGTGGTGCTGTAAAGGGACTAAAAAGGACCTGAGAGGTCTGCAGGGGCTTCCTAAAGGCGGCTTTGGCTAAAGGGGCCCCAAAGGCAACAGCGCCTCCAGCGGCCCTCCTTAAGATGTGGTAACCTCTTGGGACCCTGCCTGGGGCGGTGGTGCCCCCAGGGAACCTCCCAAGGGCGGGGCCGCTACCACGGGCCGAATGAGGGTCAGCTGCGGACCTCAGAGGGGCAGTAACGAGATCTGGGACCCTCTCATGGGCAGCAAAGGCTCTTCCTGGGACAGCGGAGCCCCCAGGGGCCTACCCAGGGGCTGCAGCGCTCCTTGAGGAAGCGGCGCTGCCCAGGGGCCCTCTAGCTTCCTTGGTCGTTGTGTCACATATTGCATACGTCCAGCAATCCTTTACTTTACTGTGATTGGTGGACTCAACTGTAAATCCACCAAATGACAGCCAATAGGAAAACAGAGCAGTCAGTCAGCACAACACCCCAACTTATGGTTTCCTATTGGATATTTATTCTCCTTTACATTGTTCATGATGAGATGATACTGGAAATGCGATGGGCAGAGTATTTATTTATATCTCCCATTTTTCTTAATAGTGCAAAAACAACTGGTCCCAGGGGCCCTACAGGGACATTGTCCACTGGGGCCCTTACATTTGTCCTACGAGGTGCAGAGCCCCCTGTGGCTCTCCCAGGGGTGTAGGTGCCCCCAGGGGCCTCTCCGAAAATCGACTGCTCCCCCACTGCCCCTCACAAGAGCGACTGTGCCCCCAGGGTCCATGCCAGGGGCCATCCTATAGGCGGTGGTGCCCCCTGGAGCCCTCCCAAATGAGGCGGCTCCCCCAGAGGCACTCCCAGGGTCGTCAGTGCCCTTAGGGGCCTCTCGCAAGAGTGACTGCGCCCCCAGGGGCCCTGCCAGGAGCAGTGGCTCCCCCAGGGGCCCTTACAGAGGCGGTGGTGCTCGCAGGGGACCTAAAAAAGGACCTGAGAGGTCTGCAGGGCTTCTAAGGGCGGCTGTGGCCCTAGGGGCCCCCAAAGGCGGCAGCGCCTCCAGCGGCCCTCCTTAGGAGTAGTGGCGCCTCTTGGGACCCTGCCTGGGGCGGTGGTGCCCCCAGGGAACCTCCCAAGGGCGGGGCCGCTACCACGGGCCGAATGAGGGTCAGCTGCGGACCTCAGAGGGGCAGTAACGAGATCTGGGACTTCCCTCTCTCATGGGCAGCCAGGCTCTTCCTGGGACAGCAGGCCCCCAGGGGCCTACCAGGGGAGCTGCAACTCCTTGAGAAACGGCGCTGCTAAGGCCCTCCTTCATGGTCGTTGTGTCTACCTTGTACACATACGTCCAGCAATCCTTTGCCCCTTGATTGGTGGACTCAACTGTAAAATCACCAAATGACAACCAATAAGAGAAAACAGAGCAGTCAGTCAGCACACAACACCCCAACTTATGTTTTCCCTGTGGATGTTATTCTCATTGTTCCTTGATGAGATGATACTGGAAATGCCGATGGGCAAATTTATTTATATCTCCATTTTTTCTTAATAGTGCAAAAACAACTGGTCCCAGGGGCCCTACAGGGACATTGTCCACTGGGGCCCTTACATTTGTCCTACCAGGTGCAGAGCCCCCTGTGGCTCTCCCAGGGATGTAGGTGCCCCCAGGGGCCTCTCCGAAAATCGACTGCTCCCCCACTGCCCCTCCCAAGAGCGACTGTGCCCCGAGGGTCCATGCCAGGGGCCATCCTATGGGCGGTGGTGCCCCCTGGAGCCCTCCCAAATGAGGCGGCTCCCCCAGAGGCACTCCCAGGGTCGTCAGTGCCCTTAGGGGCCTCTCGCAAGAGTGACTGCGCCCCCAGGGGCCCTGCCAGGAGCAGTGGCTCCCCCAGGGGCCCTTACAGAGGCGGTGGTGCTCGCAGGGGACCTAAAAAGGACCTGAGAGGTCTGCAGGGCTTCTAAGGGCGGCTGTGGCCCTAGGGGCCCCCCAAAGGCGGCAGCGCCTCCAGCGGCCCTCCTTAGGAGTAGTGGCGCCTCTTGGGACCCTGCCTGGGGCGGTGGTGCCCCCAGGGACCCTCCCAAGGGCGAGGCCGCTACCACGGGCCCAATGAGGGTCAGCTGCGGACCTCAGAGGGGCAGTAACGAGATCTGGGACCCTCTCATGGGCAGCAAAGGCTCTTCCTGGGACAGCGGAGCCCCCAGGGGCCTACCCAGGGGCTGCAGCGCTCCTTGAGGAAGCGGCGCTGCCCAGGGGCCCTCTAGCTTCCTTGGTCGTTGTGTCACATATTGCATACGTCCAGCAATCCCTTACTTTACTGTGATTGGTGGACTCAACTGTAAATCCACCAAATGACAGCCAATAGGAAAACAGAGCAGTCAGTCAGCACAACACCCCAACTTATGTTTTCCTATTGGATATTTATTCTCCTTTACATTGTTCATGATGAGATGATACTGGAAATGCGATGGGCAGAGTATATATTTATATCTCCCATTTTTCTTAATAGTGCAAAAACAACTGGTCCCAGGGGCCCTACAGGGACATTGTCCACTGGGGCCCTTACATTTGTCCTACCAGGTGCAGAGCCCCCTGTGGCTCTCCCAGGGATGTAGGTGCCCCCAGGGGCCTCTCCGAAAATCGACTGCTCCCCCACTGCCCCTCACAAGAGCGACTGTGCCCCCAGGGTCCATGCCAGGGGCCATCCTATGGGCGGTGGTGCCCCATGGAGCCCTCCCAAATGAGGCGGCTCCCCCAGAGGCACTCCCAGGGTCGTCAGTGCCCTTAGGGGCCTCTCGCAAGAGTGACTGCGCTCCCAGGGGCCCTGCCAGGAGCAGTGGCTACCCCAGGGGCCCTTACAGAGGCGGTGGTGCTCGCAAGGGACCTAAAAAGGACCTGAGAGGTCTGCAGGGCTTCTAAGGGCGGCTTTGGCCCTAGGGGCCCCCAAAGGCGGCAGCGCCTCCAGCGGCCCTCCTTAGGAGTAGTGGCGCCTCTTGGGACCCTGCCTGGGGCGGTGGTGCCCCCAGGGAACCTCCCAAGGGCGGGGCCGCTACCACGGGCCGAATGAGGGTCAGCTGCGGACCTCAGAGGGGCAGTAACGAGATCTGGGACCCTCTCATGGGCAGCAAAGGCTCTTCCTGGGACAGCGGAGCCCCCAGGGGCCTACCCAGGGGCTGCAGCGCTCCTTGAGGAAGCGGCGCTGCCCAGGGGCCCTCTAGCTTCCTTGGTCGTTGTGTCACATATTGCATACGTCCAGCAATCACTTACTTTACTGTGATTGGTGGACTCAACTGTAAATCCACCAAATGACAGCCAATAGGAAAACAGAGCAGTCAGTCAGCACAACACCCCAACTTATGTTTTCCTATTGGATATTTATTCTCCTTTACATTGTTCATGATGAGATGATACTGGAAATGCGATGGGCAGAGTATTTATTTATATCTCCCATTTTTCTTAATAGTGCAAAAACAACTGGTCCCAGGGGCCCTACAGGGACATTGTCCACTGGGGCCCTTACATTTGTCCTACCAGGTGCAGAGCCCCCTGTGGCCCTCCCAGGGGTGTAGGTGCCCCCAGGGGCCTCTCCGAAAATCGACTGCTCCCCCACTGCCCCTCACAAGAGCGACTGTGCCCCCAGGGTCCATGCCAGGGGCCATCCTATAGGCGGTGGTGCCCCCTGGAGCCCTCCCAAATGAGGCGGCTCCCCCAGAGGCACTCCCAGGGTCGTCAGTGCCCTTAGGGGCCTCTCGCAAGAGTGACTGCGCCCCCAGGGGCCCTGCCAGGAGCAGTGGCTCCCCCAGGGGCCCTTACAGAGGCGGTGGTGCTCGCAGGGGACCTAAAAAGGACCTGAGAGGTCTGCAGGGCTTCTAAGGGCGGCTGTGGCCCGAGGGGCCCCCAAAGGCGGCAGCGCCTCCAGCGGCCCTCCTTAGGAGTAGTGGCGCCTCTTGGGACCCTGCCTGGGGCGGTGGTGCCCTAGGACCTCCCAAGGGCGGGTCACACGCTCCAATGGAGGGCCGGGGGCTGCGACCCTCAGAGGCAACGAGATCTGGACCCCTCTCATGGGCAGCAAAGGCTCTTCCTGGGATAAAGGGAGTCCCAGGGCCTACCCAGGGGCTGTAGCAGCCCTGAGGAAGTGCTGCCCAGGGCCCTAGCTTCCTTTTTGGTCGTTGTGTCACATATTGCATACGTCCAGCAATCCTTTACTTTACTGTGATTGGTGGACTCAACTGTAAATCCACCAAATGACAGCCAATAGGAAAACAGAGCAGTCAGTCAGCACAACACCCCAATTTATGTTTTCCTATTGGATATTTATTCTCCTTTACATTGTTCATGATGAGATGATACTGGAAATGCGATGGGCAGGGTATTTATTTATATCTCCCATTTTTCTTAATAGTGCAAAAACAACTGGTCCCAGGGGCCCTACAGGGACATTGTCCACTGGGGCCCTTACATTTGTTCTACCAGGTGCAGAGCCCCCTGTGGCTCTCCCAGGGATGTAGGTGCCCCCAGGGGCCTCTCCGAAAATCGACTGCTCCCCCACTGCCCCTCACAAGAGCGACTGTGCCCCCAGGGTCCATGCAATGGGGCCATCCTATGGGCGGTGGTGCCCCCTGGAGCCCTCCCAAATGAGGCGGCTCCCCCAGAGGCACTCCCAGGGTCGTCAGTGCCCTTAGGGGCCTCTCGCAAGAGTGACTGCCTCCCCAGGGGCCCTGCCAGGAGCAGTGGCTCCCCCAGGGGCCCTTACAGAGGCGGTGGTGCTCGCAGGGGACCTAAAAAGGACCTGAGAGGTCTGCAGGGCTTCTAAGGGCGGCTGTGGCCCTAGGGGCCCCCAAAGGCGGCAGCGCCTCCAGCGGCCCTCCTTAGGAGTAGTGGCGCCTCTTGGGACCCTGCCTGGGGCGGTGGTGCCCCCAGGGACCCTTCCAAGGGCGGGGCCGCTACCACGGGCCGAATGAGGGTCAGCTGCGGACCTCAGAGGGGCAGTAACGAGATCTGGGACCCTCTCATGGACAGCAAAGGCTCTTCCTGGGACAGCGGAGCCCCCAGGGGCCTACCCAGGGGCTGCAGCGCTCCTTGAGGAAGCGGCGCTGCCCAGGGGCCCTCTAGCTTCCTTGGTCGTTGTGTCACATATTGCGTACGTCCAGCAATCCTTTACTTTACTGTGATTGGTGGACTCAACTGTAAATCCACCAAATGACAGCCAATAGGAAAACAGAGCAGTCAGTCAGCACAACACCCCAACTTATGTTTTCCTATTGGATATTTATTCTCCTTTACATTGTTCATGATGAGATGATACTGGAAATGCGATGGGCAGGGTATTTATTTATATCTCCCATTTTTCTTAATAGTGCAAAAACAACTGGTCCCAAGGGCCCTACAGGGACATTGTCCACTGGGGCCCTTACATTTGTTCTACCAGGTGCAGAGCCCCCTGTGGCTCTCCCAGGGATGTAGGTGCCCCCAGGGGCCTCTCCGAAAATCGACTGCTCCCCCACTGCCCCTCCCAAGAGCGACTGTGCCCCCAGGGTCCGTGCCAGGGGCCATCCTATGGGCGGTGGTGCCCCCTGGAGCCCTCCCAAATGAGGCGGCTCCCCCAGAGGCACTCCCAGGGTCGTCAGTGCCATTAGGGGCCTCTCGCAAGAGTGACTGCGCCCCCAGGGGCCCTGCCAGGAGCAGTGGCTCCCCCAGGGGCCCTTACAGAGGCGGTGGTACTCGCAGGGGACCTAAAAAGGACCTGAGAGGTCTGCAGGGCTTCTAAGGGCGGCTGTGGCCCTAGGGGCCCCCAAAGGCGGCAGCGCCTCCAGCGGCCCTCCTTAGGAGTAGTGGCGCCTCTTGGGACCCTGCCTGGGGCGGTGGTGCCCCCAGGGACCCTCCAAAGGGCGGGGCCGCTACCACGGGCCCAATGAGGGTCAGCTGTGGACCTCAGAGGGGCAGTAACGAGATCTGGGACCCTCTCATGGGCAGCAAAGGCTCTTCCTGGGACAGCGGAGCCCCCAGGAGCCTACCCAGGGGCTGCAGCGCTCCTTGAGGAAGCGGCGCTGCCCAGGGGCCCTCTAGCTTCCTTGGTCGTTGTGTCACATATTGCATACGTCCAGCAATCCCTTACTTTACTGTGATTGGTGGACTCAACTGTAAATCCACCAAATGACAGCCAATAGGAAAACAGAGCAGTCAGTCAGCACAACACCCCAACTTATGTTTTCCTATTGGATATTTATTCTCCTTTACATTGTTCATGATGAGATGATACTGGAAATGCGA